TCTGCAATCTATTGCAAATCTTTAAACTATAACTATAAATAACCGGATGGTTTGAACTCCAACGAGAATTGAACTCTTAAAAACATACATAATTAACCAGGACTACTTATTTCCAACAGCAGAGATAATTTAAAAGACAACATATGTTAGTTAACATTTTATGTTAGTAAGGTTAATCTTCTCTTACTTTATGAATTATGAATTATGAAAAACAACTTCGCCTGATTTCCACTTTGTGCTGCAGCTTTACAGCATAGAATCTAAGACCGGCTGGGTTGACCTTTATACGGCCCCATTCAAGAACCGGAACGGCTCCAAGCTGGCCTTCGTGCTGCCCCACGACAACTACAAGCATCTGCAGCTGCTTGCCACAGATGTGAGCAATGCCAAGCTGGAGCCACTGACCAGCGGCAAGTTTGTGGTGGACAGCATACTCCACTGGGACCCCACGCATGACGTCATCTTCTATACGGCCAACACTGAGGAGCATCCGGAGCAGCTGCATCTCTATGCGATTCGAGCGCTGGCCACACGCAAGCAGACGCCCAAGTGTCTGACGTGCAAGCTGATGACCTCGGGCGATGTGGAGCAGAGCTACTACTCGGCCGTCTTCAATGACAATAATCAAATTGTGATTTCCTCTCTGGGACCAGGCATACCCACGACAGCCGTATACGAGTGGACCTATGCGAACTGTAAGTGGAATCCCAATGCTCACACGTAACAAAGTCTTGAATTTCTCTCTGTCTTATCTAATTTTAGCTCAGGTAACTCTGAAGAAGCTTATGGATTGGGAGAATAACGACGTATTGCGCTCAAAGCTGCGAGGCGTGGCACTGCCCACACACAAGATACTCACAGTCAACATCGACGGCGGCTTTCAGGCGAAGGTGCTGCTCCAGCTGCCGCCCAATTTGGATACCAGCGGCTCAACCAAATATCCAATGCTAGTCGACGTCTACGGCGGACCCGATTCCTATTCCGTAAGCACTGATTGATGTGGGTAAAACTGAAAGCTAAGGCTTGGTCTTTGCACAGGTGACTAACAAATGGATGATGGACTGGGGCACCTACCTGTCCTCGAACCAATCTGTGATCTATGCCAAGATCGATGGACGCGGCTCGGGACTGCGCGGCGAGAACCTCTTGCATGCCATCTATCTGCAACTGGGCACAGTTGAAATCAGCGATCAGATCAAGGTTACGCAGTAAGTGCTAGGAATAGAAGAATCATCGTCCCTCTCCTTCTCACTTTTCCCCTGTTTTGTCTATCTCTTCAATCTTCCGTTTTCCACCTTTATTGATTATTTGATATAGTGGCTACAATCATATCAGTCGCGCATATAAATATGTTATCCCAAAATACATATATAAATCACAAAAGGAAATATTCTTGATACATATATACCATAGACAGCAGATGATTCGATACTAATATCAATTTAGATCAAGCTGATCGACAAATATTAAGCTTATGTATAAAAGCCTTAAACCATACTATCTATACCTTCTTTTATAAATATTCCTTAAATTCCTCTTAACTATATGCATAACAGCATACATTTATTTAAAAAAAAAAATAAGGTCACTTAAGTCCAAATTTATTCGTTTATTATCTGAAGATGGTTAAGATTTAATTTGTTTATCTACAAAAGATGGGATGCATCTAATCATATTCATCGTATGCTAAAGTTTCTCATTTTATAATATAAAATTCCCATTTTATAATTAAATGTATCAAACTCAATTTATTGCCAGAAACCTGACGAAAATGTTTGACTACATCGATGATGAGCACATCGGCATCTGGGGCTGGAGCTACGGTGGCTATGCCGCGGCCATGGCGCTGGCCAACGATGACAATGGAGTGTTCAAGTGCGCCGCCTCTATAGCGCCAGTCACCGATTGGACCTATTATGGTATGGACCAAGCAAGTTCACTATTTTGCATGAGTTTTTATTATTTTCCGATTTGCAGACTCTATTTACACGGAACGTTATATGGGTCTGCCGGAGACAAATGAGATTGGCTATGCCAACTCGCGACTGAGCACGCGGGCCCAGAAGCTGCGGGGCAAGAAATACTTGCTCGTCCATGGCACATCCGATGACAATGTGCACTACCAGCAGGCCATGATCTTGGCCAAGAATCTGGAGCGACATGATATACTCTTTAAGCAAATTGTAAGCAGAGACTCTACTATGGGGTATACTAGTGTTACTTAACTAACTTTTATCCTTTCTTCGTTGCCCCTACAGAGCTACGCTGATGAGGACCACGGACTGGTCAACGTACGCCCTCATTTATATCACTCGCTGGACCGTTTCTTTGGCGAGTGCTTCGCCAGCAGCCGGCTGATGAAGAGCGCCAAGTAGAATGGTTAACTATATGAATTTTACAGTAATATTTAATGTATTTAATGAGAAAATTGTAAAGCTTGCAGACAAGTTAGAGCAGTGCGAATTAATTGGTACTTAAAAAGATGCATTTCAATTCAACAATTTTATTGATAAATGTAGTTTAAATCAAAACGCTTCAAAACTTCCAAAATTAAAACACAAGCAAAAACAAAAACAAAAACAAAATAAAATCAAACGAATGCAGGTCCAAAAGTGTTAATAGATAACTTTGAACAATAATATTTGAAAATGCATTTTATGACATTTTAAGCATATAGTTGAGCAGGAAACAAAAGATATTTATAGACAAATCTAGGAAATGTCTACTAAGCTGTAGTTAGTGCCTGTTATTATAATAGGAATTTCCAAAAATACTAAAAAGAAATTTCAAAATAAAAACAACAAAATAACGTATGTAATTCCTAGAAGTTTTATAAACAATTGGAACGTAGAGATTTTCTTGTGCAATTTAAAAAGGTTTTGTGAAACTAATGGAAAATGGAAACCACAATTATGTACATTTTTTTCCAACTGTCATATTTAGCTTGTAGTTTGTTATAGTTATGTTAATTTGCCACGATGTAAAGAAAATGTTATGAATTTGTAAATAAGATGGCTTTTGTAATTTAGATGACAAGCGTGTGCTTATCAAGCAACACCACAAAGACGCAAACACAAATAAAATTAAATTAAATAATAAATAAATATATATATATATTCAAGGCACAGATTTCATTCATGTCGAGTCGGCCCCCATCAAACAAAGTTGTTCTGCTTATTCTCTTTAGCTTTCAGTACACAAACCGCATCACTTTATTGCATTGGCCCCAAACGCGGGTTACATACACCATATACAGACATATACATATGTCTATCTATATCATATATGTATGGTTGCATATCCTCTGGGCGCCATCTTCATCAACAGTTTTTTATTTAATTTGAAAAATGTTTTCTTTTTTCTTTTAAATTATTAATTATATTTATATTATTAAGTTTACGTATTTTAAATGGAATTTCTATATATTTTTTGTGAAATCTGTATTTTACAATTGATATTGATAAATTTATATATAATTTTCTTTTCATAAATTCAAATTATGAAATATTTGTATATTGTTTTCGAACTTCAAGCATAATTTGTATGGTACAAAAATATTGATTTGTATTCGAATATTTCTTAAATAATTTGTTGTTTTATAATATATTTTCCTTACATTTGAATTAACTTTATACATCGACCTTTACTTACATTTGCTTAAAAATGTTATTTTCTCATTAAATTGTTGAAAATGTCTCATATATCATATCAATATATATACAATAAAACTTCGGAGCTTTACGAAGTGAATAAATATGCTAAGAGTATGTAGAACCAGCTCACACACATACATACATACATATGTTGTCTAGGATCGTAAAACACATACTTAGGCATATATCCATTGGAAAAACTCAATGTGATCGAAACTTTGAGGAAACTAACAGCTATTTATTTGTGTGTGTACTACATGTATAATTGGTAATGGATTGGGGTTTCCTTATGTAACACTGTTGTTCTATTGCAGGTAAACCTCTTGGACTACGTCGTGATGCTGCTGCTGTTGTCCATCGGGATCCTGCAGCTCCTCCTGCAGATCCAGCTGATGGTGTTGGTGCTGCAGGTGATGATGGTGCTGCTGCTGCTGCTGATGGTGATCCTGCTGCTGATGGTGGTCCTGATCTTGATCCTCGATTACAACTCCCTCGCTGGCATCGTACTCGATCAGATGATCATCCGCCTCTGCTTGCTGATGATGATCAATGATAATGTGCTCCTCCTCGACCAAGTGGTGGTCGTGTTGGTATTCGTGCTGTTGCTGCTGCCAGCGCAGCGGCGGCGGCGATGTTGGTGCCGCCAAGTGCTGCACTGGCTCGTGGACGCTTGTCGAGCTGGTTGATCCGCCAGCTGCGGATGTGGTGGTTGTTTGATAGACGGTTTGCTGATTCCTAACAATATGACCGGCGGCTGTGACATTGGTTACGCTGGCGCGCTGATTGGTGCGCGTCAGAGTAACTGTCACCTCAGAGCCAAGGCCAGCAAAGGACACAGACGGCGTCGTTGCCTGTGTGCTGCTAGCTGCTGTTGCTGATGTTGATGCTGTCGATGCTGCAGCAGCTGCTGCTGCTGCTGCCGTGGCTCTGGCCTGAAGTATTTTGCGTGTGGGCAACTGTGATGCGCTGACTGTGGAGGTTGTTGATGTTCCTGCTCCAGATGCTGATGCTCCCGACTGCGGCACATAGTTAATCAGCAGCACGCGCTCTCCACTGGTTGTCTGCGCTGCATGGCCGCGCAGGACGCGGCGCTGCAGGGATCCACCAGTTGCAGTTGTTGTCGTTACTGCTCCAGTGCTGCTGCTGCTGTTCACTGCTGTTGCTGCGCTGCTGCGTTCGCTGCTGCTGTTGTTGTTGTTGCTGCTGCCGCTGCTGCTGCTGCCACATTTAGTGTTGCTGCTGCCGCTGTGCTGCTGCTGCTGCTGCGCTGGTTGCCCACCGCCCCCGAGTGCTCCACCACCTCCAGGGCCGCTGGTCATATCGTTGGCTCATCATTACGTATTATTACCGCCTTTCAAAATGAAAACCTTCTTTACCAAAATGTTCTTATTGTTGGCCTATTGAGACACATTGATTATTGATGAATGATTCGGTTATTTGTCGGGTTGGTTGGTTGTTTGGTCGTTTGATGCATGAGTTGCGATAATTAAACATTATTTATTAATTAGATTTGGTGAGTTTACAACGAGGCAGCGAAAAGAGAGAAGACAAGATAAAAAACGATTTGTTAATGACTTGGTTATGGATTCAACATGAGGTTGTGTTATGAGAGTGCATATAAGGGGCAACATTATATTACATTATATTACATACATAAGTTTCTCACTTCTTTTCATATGATATCATTTTTGTGTCCCTTTAGAGTGTCTGTGAGTGTGTTTGATTTATTAATGGAGTAGATGCAATATGAGAGAGAACTCTCGGTCAGGTTTCAGTGGAAAGCATATTAGAGTCAAATAAAGTTCGAGTTTGCATGGATTAAACATACAGAAACAAATATATGTGCGATGAACTACAATTGTTAGAGAATCTATAAAGTTATGAGAGCCAAAGAAAAATGTTAAACTATTTCATAAATTTGTGTTAAAAATAAAAAGTTCCAACACCAATATTCAACGAAAATTCTTGATAAAATTTGCTTTTGTTTTTGTTTTTTTTTTTCCAACATCTTTTGGTTTATTCATGTATATTCTTTTTAAATAAAATTAAATTTTATTTAAGTTAAGGTAATTTTCTTCTTTTTTTCGGAAAAGGCCAAATATTTGCTACATGCAAAGTTGAAAAATAATAAAAATATATATAGAATCTGTTCTCTTATACAGTTTCAAACTAAACCAAAGCGAATATGTGCCCTAATCCGAAAAAAAGAATAGTAAAAGATGACTTATCGAAAAAATTTGCAACTATTAAAAATAAAATTAATTATGTAAATATAAAGAGCTTTTTGTTTTTGTATATTAAAATTTAAGTGTAGAGTGTACAAATTTTTCTTTCTTTTTTCTTTTTTTTTTCCTTTTTTTTGTACAGTGTAGCACCAAAGAAGTTTTGGTCTAAGAGCGGAGAAGCAGGAGAGACTAAAGCTTATATAGATATCTGCAGAATCCGGGCAGAATTAAGGCAAAAGTCGCACGCAGTCCAAGCGAATGACATTACTTGAATAGTATATAATAGAAATCTCTCCATCAGACAGAATGCAGGTGAGCCCCGCGATTTGATAATATAGATTTAATAATTTTAGCTAAACATATTTACGGGAATCTACACACAGCAAAAGTAGTGTAAAGTGTAAAATTTAAAAACGACTACACTGATAAGATAGTAAGCTTGACTAGGATGCCTAGTCTGTCCAATTAAGACTACATACACACATATAACATAGGTAGGGGTAGGCGAGAAACGGGTCAAACTACAGCACATTACATAGTCCAATAACCATAGCGCGCTCTTAAACATAACTAAGTATTGCAGAACATAATTAATCATAATAGCGAAATCAATAATTAAAGTTAACAAAATTTTACAACAAAATTGGATATAAAAACTAAAGGCCCTCGAGATATATAGAGCAGGCTACGAACAAAACGATTCGTTTCCAATATTTCGAAATTATGCAATTGCAATTATTTCTCTTAAGTACGTTGTTGCTGGAAGAGCAGTAGATGCTCCAATCGGATGTTTCTATATAGATCTCCAGTTGTAACTGGTGTTATATGCAGGACTGTTAGGTCACAGTATAAATTATCATTGCACGATTTTCAAATTTGTAAATAATAAATATTGCCACATTGAAAAGCAAAAGGAAATATAATTTACTTTCATTTCCATTTAGTTAACTCTTAGAAATAAAGTCTGATTAAGTTAAAATTTAGCTAGCTTCGATCCAAGTTAAAATTGAAATAGATATTGCAATATTTTGAGCCAGCCCTTGAGGTTTCTCTAGCCTGCTCTATATATCCAAGTTTAGTTGGTGAACATTTTACTACACACATTCCGTAGAGAGTTAAGCATAATCGGAGAACCAGGTCTTGGATTGGGTCTATAATAGTGGGTGTATGATTCGGTTCGATTTTTGTCATAAGTGAGAGCTTGCTACTCAAAGCGTCTGTGGTGGTTGTTGTTGCTGTTGCTGCTGCTGTTGTTGTTGCTGCTGCTGTTGCTGTTGTTGTTGCTGTTGAAAATCAGTCATATTCACCTGATTCAAGTTGCCAATGATCTGATGACCCTGCAACGTTTGCACCTGAGCAATCGAGAGCGGTGTGCCGCTCTCGCTGCCATCCGACTGGGCCACCAGCTGCGGTTGTTGCTGTTGCTGCTGCTGCTGTTGTTGCTGTTGCTGCTGCTGATTGCTGGCCTGCTGTTGGGCAGCAGCTTGGGCGCTGGTTGTCGGCGTCGTCATATTGCCAGACGAATCGATGATCTGGTGATGCTGCAATGCCTGCTGCTGTTGCACCTGTTGCACCTGCTGCACCTGCTGCTGTTGCACCTGACTGCCAGCCGTGGTGGTTACTGTCATTGTTTGTTGCTGTTGCTGCTGCTGTTGTTGCTGCTGCTGCTGTTGTTGCTGCTGCTGTTGCTGTTGTTGCTGCGCATCGGGATCCTTCTTGACCTGCACGCCCTGCAGCGGATGCAGCGACTGCACCGTTTGCACTTGGGGGACTACTCCACTGCCGCCCGTCTGGGTCTGCCCGGAGCCCGATGTGCTGCTGCCCGGTTTCTTGCCACTGGATGCTGCAAAGTATCGAAGAGATGAGTATATAAGCATTGTGAGCAAACAACTAGGGTTAAAGGAATGTCAACGTATACGATAGGGCGACACCATCTTGGACAGAAGTCAAAACAACTGACACAACAACCTGGCTCTAAAAAAAATACAGACAGCAGAAACTGAAGAGCTTAGACGTGAGAGAGTTAAGAAATGACTGTATGTATGCATGTGTGTGTGTGTGTGTGCATGTGTGCGTGTGAGTTACATAGTCTGACTAGATTAGTAGATAAGAGTAGGTTTATTAATCAATTTGAAAAAAAAAATAGATTTTTCAATTAAAAAGAAAAACTAAATAAAAGCTGTTAAATAGAAAAACAAACAGTAAATAAAACAAAATTTCTTGCAAACTCAAGTGTTAAAAGTATTTTGGAATTTCAAGAAAAACTAAATAGAAACAAACTATAATTTCTTTCAAACTAAAAGTATTTTAGAATTTCAAGTCTTTACAAATCAACTAATTAAAAATCAAAGTACAGTATTTTCTTGCAAAACAACAGTAAACAGAACGGAGCACAAAAGAAACTAGAATCAACAATTTTGTGGAATGAACAAAAATATCATAAAGAAATATTAACAACAAATTGTCGCAGCAACAAAATTAATTGCAAAAAAAATTTGGTTACATAAAAATGATATACGTATATATTTATTAAACAATTTGTAATATATGTGATTATATATTATTTTAAGAGAAACTTAAAGTGAATTTCTTTTGTTTTTAAGCCACAATTAAGCTTATAATTACAAATTAATTTGTTAATAGTTTTGCTTGTTGGTTTGTTTTTTTTTTTTTTTTACATCTTAAAAATATAACGCGACATGATTGATTTATCCTTTCTCTGTTTAAGTAAAATAGTTTGAGTATTTACCGTTATATGCAAGAAAATACTGCATAAATGATCAGAATTGTTAATCATCTGTTATTGAATTGTTGAAAATGTTTAAGCAAAAAATAATAAAAACTTACAAAAAATTATACAAAATGAAATAAACATTCATTTGCAGACGGATGTTTTCTTTTTTGTTTTTTGATTTTGTTATTTACAAACATTGTGTGCGTGTGTGTATGTGTGTGTGTGGTGTGTATGGTATGTGTTAAGGTGGAATGATTAGGCGAGCGACATTGGGCGGCGGCATCGTTATTATTGGGGCTGTTGCTGCTGCTGCTGCTGCGGCATAAACACTTGATCACCCACAATGTGAATAACATTTTGCATGCCTTGCTGTTGCTGCTGCTGCTGCGCAGCGGCGTTGCTGCCACTGCCGCCGCCCTCATGCTTGATGTTGACGCCCATGAGATGCGTTTGACCACCACCCCCACTTAGTGCTGATGTGTTTAAGTGTTGCTGTTGTTGTTGCTGCTGTTGTTGCTGCTGTTGTTGTTGCTGTTGTTGTTGTTGTTGTTGTTGCGGTGTTTGATGGTGTTGCTGTTGCAGTTGCTGTTGCGGCAGCACAGTGCTGGCCATAATCGTATTACTGTTCGCCGTGGGCGTGGCTATGACCCTAGGTAAGTGCGTAGCATTGCCACGAACTGGCGTCTCCGCTGCCGACGGTGTTCCCGTTGTGTCGCTGGTGTCGCCCACGGTTGTGTTATTGAGCTCAGTGCTCGTCTCGAGTGTGGTATCATTACCGGACTTACTTTTCTTCTCCTTCTTGATGCCCGGTTTGGCGAAGTGCCGCAGCTCGAGATGGCGCCGCAGATTGCGCGACTGACGTATGATGGCATAGCAAATGGGGCAAGTAGCGGGTTGTTCCGATTGAGAGCGTGATCGAGGTTCTGCGGAGATAGCAAAGACAACAAATTTAGATAGACTTCTAGCCTAACGTACTCTCCCATCAATTGGACTCACTTTCTGTCCCGGGCGGATGTTTTGTCCGTTTGGCTTTAGGCGTTGCCGTTGTGCCACCAGTGCCAGTCGTTACGGTTGCCCCAGACGCTGTCGTTATTTCACCAGTTGCCGCATTGGCCGACGTCACGGGTATCATATTGTTGGGGTCCATGGTAACAATAGTCTCAACCTTTTGCCCTTCGCTCTTGATGATCGGAGTGCTAGTCAACAATTGCGTTTCCGCGCCATTTTCATCCAGGACTTGCTGTTGCTGAACTACTTGCTGCTGTCCGGTCAAGTGAGATGTTGTCGGCGTGTCCATGATCGTTCCCATTCCTTCAATTTTGGTTATTTTCGGTGCAGTTGCTGTGGGACATAAGGAGATCTTTCAATATTAAAGAGATCTATGGGAAATATCTATCTTAGATGCTTACGTGACATTTTCTTGACACGCGGCTTACGCTTGCGTGCGGGCAAGAAGCTCTGTATTACGGCCTGGTCGTGCTTGGAAGTGTCGGCTGTCACAATCGTCTGCTGGTGTCCGGCGGCATTGGTCTGAGTGGTCGCTTGCAATATCTGGCCCTGGTGGTGAATGTCCTCGACAACCTGTGCGTGCACAGTTTGCTGCGGCGCCGTGGCAATCGTTGCTATCAATTGGTCCTGGTCGTGGTGTTGTGGTATCATATGTTGCAGTTGTATCGAGTGCGTGGTGTAGTCATCCTTGGTCACGGTCTGCGGTGCGAGCCCCTGAATATTGAGGCACTGCGCCGCCTGCAGCAGCGACGGCAGCTGCCCATGATCGACGCTCACCTCGCCCCGATAGACGAACTCCAGCAAAGCCTCCAAATCGTTGGCGTTGACGCCAGCCAACATCACCACTGGATGCTTGCATGGCGTGTTCTATAAAGATAAAAGTAAATTAATGATATCAATTTTGTTTAAATCATACTCATTTTTGATATTTGAAAAAAATACTCATAATGATATATATATGAAAATAAATAAATTAAATCACAATAAATAAATTTGAAATTTATTATATGAATATTTTAAATATTAAAATAAGTTAATAATATATACTTTATTAAATATATAAATATATTATATATATTCAATTATTTATTTTCATATTTAAAATATAATTTAAAAATCATAATTTTAAAAAAAAAAAAATACTTTTTAATATTTTAGTAATTCAATGTGCTCGACTCCCTTGCTCTAGCCAAATATCTTTGCTTTTGGCGCTCCAAATTTATTTGCCGGCTGAGCAACACGCGCGCTCGCTCATAAATGCTGCTGCTGCTGCTGCTGCTTAGTTCAAAACAGAGACAAAAGAATTGGCCGTCAACTGAGACCATCAAAACAAACGGATAAATTGTCGACCAACTCACACACACGCGTGCACTCAAACGAAACTCAACAAAAACATGTACACACGCAAACGCACACACAGTCATTCAGAGTCAGAGGCACACTCTCATCACAATAAACCGGCTTTTCGCTATGCGCGCTCTGCATTTCTGCAGCAGGATTGGAGATGCTGCCAGAGCCCATACACTCTACACCAAGTAAGAGCACCCCGCTCGCTCGCTCGCTCACTCACTCACTCACTCAACAGCTCGTTCTTTCGTTCGCTCACACACTCACATGGCGCGGATTTAATTAGCAGGCAGGCAGGCAGACAAGCAGGCAGGCAAGCAGCAGCAAAAGTCTGCGTCGTTCAGAGGCCCGCTTTAAACGGTGAGCGACAGCTTACCACCGTGACGCTAGCAGCGCTGCCTCTCACCCAATCTCTTTAAATGCCATCCAGCAGTTGCCGCGCTCCGTCGCACTCAAACCCGTAGAAAGGCCGCGTACCACACGCTCTTTGAACTCTACACTCCCTTCAGCCAGCCTGCCTACCTACTTCTTTTCTCTGCCTCTTCCTCTGCTTCTGCCTCTGCCTCTGCCACTACCACTGCTGTTGCTGACGTCGCGCTCGCCATTGCTCTGACGCTCATCGATTTTTTCAGAGTGGCTGCTTTTCACTGGTTGCACTTTGTGAGGGAGCGGGAGCGACAAAGAGCATTGTCTACGTATTTTGCGTGTGTGTGTGAGTGTAACGAGATCACTAAGCGTACGAGTACATCTTATGGGCAGCAGCGACTCTTGCAGAGTTCACATATAAAACCAATTTTTGACATTTCCCGCGACCGACTCTGAGCGACGTTTTTCGAAATTACGCTCTGTTTACTTTTTGAACGGGGGAGCGAGCATAAAGCCGATGCTAGGCGTCAGGTGTTCTACACTCTCCTCTCTGTTTTGGTCATTTGACATGTGGACGCAGAAACAATAACAATGCATGAATATCTGATTGGTGCTGATCTCCAGTGCAATTTCTCAAAAGTAAACTATCAAATAATACAGGAGAAATCAAATAAGATGATACAAATTTACAAAAATAAATATTTATTAATTCGAGCAATGTGAAATAAAGCAATCAAATAAGTACAGTACAGCACACAGAATGAAAAATGTTAAAGTGTAACAACAGAAATAAAACCAAATCAAAAGCCACATGAGTACATAACCACAAGTACGTATGTATTCAAAAAGTATATGTACATGTGATGATATGCATATGTATAATTCTGATATGAGCTGTATACAGTGTACAGTGAAGCTTGTTTATGTAAGACAAACGCCAGGTGATACGTAAATACGTAATCAATATACGCTTCAACTGAAATACAATGTATGTATGTATGTATATAAATTCTGCTTGCTAATACGCTATATTTATCATTTTCATTTTATTTATTAAATATTTCTTTTATACTGTATTCTCAATAGTCAATATCAACTGTACATTTACACACACACACACTTGCTGGCATAAGCAAAAAGAGGTCGCGCTCGTGTGCACCCAACAACAGCAGCAACGGCAACGGCAACAGCAGCAGCAAACATTGCCAGCAAGAGCAAGAGCCAGTCAGGCTGCCCCGTCATTTGGCGCTCTCGTTTGCGCTCGCTCTAACACATTTGAATTAAAAGTTGGCGCAACTTTTGCTCCCCTCTTCACTCATACATGCGCCTGCTCTCGCACTCTCTCGCTCTTCGGCACTCACTTGAAAGCTTATACATTTGTATAACAAGACGAGGCACAGGGGCAAGGGAGACAATATGACAACGTCAGCGTTAGCGCAAAAGAGTGCGCAACTCATTCTACTCAATTGACAATAGAAAACTTACACGGAAATCTCTGGCGAACTAAAATGACGAGAAAGTAGGAGACGCACCGCAGTCTCATGCTGCTCCTGAGCATTGGCCCAGAGCGACAACTGTGTTTAAGCCAGGAGCAGAGCGCGAATGCACATTTCTTAACTCACACATATACACGAGCACTCAAATACTAATGTATGCATGTATGTAGCTTACATTCACATTGTGTTGGGGAGTCAAAACCGTTTCACAAATTCAAACACACTCGCACGCACGCACAAACACATAATAACCTATTTGGCAAGTCGGACGACGATTTTGATTTCTCTGTTTACAAACTGTACGCGCAAAAACACATGCCAACGAAACGTCGTCGCTGTTGAGGTTATGTTTAGAAAAGCTCTCGCCGCGTACTCACCTTTAGCAGGTCCAACAGAAATGGAGAAGCCGCACAGAGCACGATTTTGTGGGCTGGAAAACTGCGTCCGCCGGCAGCCAGGGTGCAATCGACCAGGTCGCCATGGCAGCGCAACAATTGTATGGCCGATACCAGAGATGTTCCATAATCACCCCAGGTGAGCGAGTACAGCGAATTCATTGGCAACGACATTAGGGCTGTCGTGTCCAAATCCAACAGTTGTTCTCCAGCGTTGTAGTTATATTGATTGCTGTTTGTGGCCAACACGACGAGGCTGTTATTCTTGCAACGTTCTAACAAGAAATTTCATCTAAATGGCAGCGTCAAATAGTTGATGCTGCTGCTCCACTGCTCAACTGCTCAACTGCTCCACGTTCACGAGCTTTCACAACGACTGAATGGCGCGCTGCTTCTTATCGTTGCCCCCTACAAAAAACAAAAAAAAAGAGTAAAGAGCATAAGCAGATGGAAGACAAACAACTCATGTGCTCTCGCTCTCTCGCGAGAAAAACTTTTTATATACAAATGTTTCAGAGCGTGTGTGTATGTGTGTGTGTTTTGGTGGGGGAAGGGCCTCAGTGGCGCATGAGCTCCATGCGCACCCCTCGCTCCCTCTCCTAAGATTGCTGAGCACGCGAGAGCGAGACAACCAGAGAGCAAGTTTTACAGCTCGTATATGAAATGTGGGCCGCCTGCCCGCCCCCCACAGACCGATGAACGGACGGACGAACGATTGAACGTATGGAACTGCATGACTTTAGACTTGGAAAAAAACACACAACTAACACGAACAGGCAACATTTTACATTTGTTAATAGAATGAAACAAGTTGGAAAAAAGCGCGCGATTATCACTTTAGCATTATTCAGACACGCCCAGAAATACATATTCATATTTTGCTTATGTTCTTAGTTTTCTTTTTTCTATCTTTTTTTTGGTCTTTGTACAGTTAACGCCACGCATTTTGCTTTTGCCTCAGCATTTGTTTTATAACTACAATTTCATTCACTTTTGTGTTGTTATTCTGTTTGTTTACACGCCGTCGCTCCCGGAGCGAGCAATTTTATGCATGTTGAAATTATCTTCTCACCGGAGCGCAAAGAAAAATCTGCTTGCTGCTATTTTATACTCGGTTTGCTTTCCCTTCTTGACCGCCGCTCACGGCTGGTGGCTCTGGCTCTTGATTTTCTTTTTTGCTGCTGCTGCTCGCCAGCGTTGAATAACTCGAACTGAGACTGAGTATTCGATCGAATTACGTTCTGCCAGCGCGGCGCGGTCGTGTTGTATGACGAGTTTTAGTCTCTATACGGAGAAAATTTCTGATCATGCGCGCTGAACCGCTTTTTGGTGGTGGTTTCTCGCATGTTTGTGTTTGTGTAGGCTTATGAGAATGAATGTATCTATGTGTGTGCTCGCATGCATGTGTGTGGGTGACACTGTTGCTGCGGTGAGCGCGTGAGAGTGAGAGAGATGGCTGGCAGTGCGCGCTCTTGAAAGTACAGTTGACGAGCAGCGTTACCAGATGTAAATAAATTTAAGTGAAATACCAATGAAAGAGCATTTCAGTTTGCCCAAAATAAAAGATACGATAAAATTCAGTTTTCAAAAAAATTTTTGTATTAATGTATTTTTAAATATTTTTATTGAATTTTTTTTATATTTTTTTTTTGATAATTTAGAGGTAATATTAATCGTGTGATCGATCGTTATTTAGATAAATATTGATGAATGGCTTTAAATATTCCATAATCGAAAGATCCTGACAGATGCCGGTTCGCTCTTACGAAATTCAGATACTCTTTGAGCGCCAGTTTCAGGCAATCACCTGTTTCTGTGACACACTCCCAAAGACAGCTCGACCCTATTTTTATGCAGATCAAGTCCCGCTTAAGAGCAGAAACGAGCAACGCGTTGTTGCAGACTCGCTGCCAGCGGGGAGAGAGAAATTACCAGGGAGAGTTCTATCCATGGTGCGTCCAATACTCTGAGAAGTAGTAATTTAGTGAGCAGCATGTGAGTAGAGCCGAAAAAAAATACGACGCAAGATTACAAATTTTCTCTGTTTTGATTTTGATGCTGCTGCCGCTGCTGCTGCTTCAGCTGGACACGGGAAATGTTAACGCCGCTTTAAAAGTCCAATCAGCATTAAAGCAGTGAGCGTATATCGAAGCTGGTAGTGCTGAGCGAGAGTAGTCGGGTGGGTGAGGGTGGTGAGAGAAACATGGCGAGCAGCAACAGACAGTAGGCCGCAATGCTAAAAGGCTGCAACGAACTTTTAGTGTGTGTAGTGAACTACAATGAAATCATTTCTGTCCCACTGTGCGAGCTGCTGACTGCCTGCTTGTCTGAAATTCGAACGGCGCGGCGACATTGCTCGGCCTCGCAGCGACCTCCTCTCTGCCGCAGCACACCCCGTTAGCAATGTTATCATTGTGTTTGTTCTTGTTTCAGTAGTCGAATTCTATTTAAAAAACGAAAACATGCTAAAATTTGTTTAAAGCGCATAGACAAACAGATATGAAATACCAATGAACATACACACATACATACGTATACATATGTATAGCTATTTGTACGTTAATTTCGACATGCATTAGTATGCGTATAAATAATTATGTGCACACGTATGTACATTCACACATATGCATGTATGAGTATGTATATATGTGCTAAATATTTTGCTTTTTCACACTTTTGAATTTCGTATGCATTGATTTCGGCATTAGCAAAAAATTCATTTTACTAGCAATATTCACATAATTACTTCTATTCCTATTTAGCAATACAAAATTAGTTTTCCGCAACGGAACAAAGCATCTCCACGTTTTGAATGTCGCCGCAATAATAAACTCATTTTGCCATACAAATTTAACCTGTGACTGCTGCAGAGTGACGGCGGCGTCAGCGGCAGCGGCAGCAGATTCCCTCTCCCGCTCTGCTTTGTTCTTTTCTGCGGCTGCAACTGCCGAGATACAATGCTGAGAGGTTTGACACAGTTGAGAGGAGAGGCTAGCGTCGCGTCGGCCGCGCGTACTCCAAGAAATTTTCAAAAGCAGACCAAACACTATCCAAGACTTTTTTTGCTTCATTATTATGCTTTCCCACAATACTATTCTGCCTGCATATGTATGTGTGAGTGTGAGTGCGCACTCAGCGAAACACACACACACGTACCGACAGACAGGGCGCTCACTGAGGCATTTGGAGAGACGGAAGAGTCGAAATTCACGCAACTCTCTGTTATTGTATTTCATTCCACAATACGAAAGTCTTGTAACATTACAACAACTGCAGGGTTAATTGATAAACAAAAATATATGTTTAAAAAAATAACGGGCTTGCAAAGTAATCTTAATTATAACCTATATAAGAAACATCAAATAATTCTTTTTACAAAATCTAATTGGTGTCAGCTTAATGTGAACTATTTTATTTTAATGCTTCTTTTAATTGTGACCTTTCGTTTTAAATACAAAATTTGATAAAAATAAATCATTTTTACTACATATATCATGTACTAAAAAGTATTGTTTAAATGTTTGAACGATTTTTGGGATTTTTAATATACTTTTATTAATAACTTAATAACATAAACACTTAAAATTTTTAAAATTTCGAAGTAAATTCCTCATTAATTTTATGTACCTCTTTGTACCACAGTACAAAGTATTTATTTTAGGATTCATAGTACCCTATTAGTAGTGCTCTATTACTATTAAAGTCTTTAGTTAATTTGTAATCAATTTAACTTGAATATCTATGAAACATTACAATATTTACAGATAGCAAAAAGTGATATATAGTGCACAATTTCTTGGGTATTTCGGACTCACCTGTAGATTGATTACCTATTTGCTAGGATTGCACCAGGCGACTGTTTGGTAAACGATGGTCTTTTCATCAGCTGCCTCATAGGCAAACACACAGCTCTTATTGACAATAACTGACAAGCGGACCTTGGAAATCAGCTCCAGGGGACGTATTGCAGGTGTTGACTGAATGATGACAATGTGGGAGGCGTGGTAGAGCAGGGGATCCCCGGGATATATTAAGAAGTCGGCGCCAAAGGCATCGCCACAAGTGACGAACTTGCCACGGCCCCACAGATCACGAAAAACCCGGTATTTAAGCGAGTCGCGGTCGCAAATCGGATCAGACCATAGTTGGGCAGCTTTAAAAAGAAGTTAATATTTAGTTATAATGAAGGTAATAGTTTTTCGATTTCACCTACTGTGCTTAGCCAGATGCGGACAAGGCAGCTCCACGAGCGCATTTTGATGATCGAATTCAAAATTATTTGCGACTTCTTGGATCACGCTCTGGGGAGTTAGTGCAGCAGCTGTTAGAGAAGACATTCCTTTGTATAGCGATATTAATATTTATCCTGATACTTACCCTCATCCGATTTCCCCTGCTTTAACAACTTGTTGCGCTTGCCGCTGAGGATTTTCTCCACATGGCGTTCGGTTTCCCGCAGCTTTTCCGCCTTCAAGGAATCAGCTTGCGCTTTTAGGCGGGCCGCGAAATCTTCTTGATATTCCTGCAATATTTCTGGAGTTGGAGATTTCATTAAGCTTGCGGCTTTGCTGACCAGCATGGCCAGGCCTTCATCTATGAGCAGCTGCGTCTCGCATTTTGTAAGCTCTACGGGAAGAGCTGAAATATTATGAATAGCCAATAGAGTTATAGCAATTGATTCCAATTAACCATGTGCTTTCTCAGCTACCTGCTTCACTGGAGCTCCAACCTTTGCTGTTGGCCGTGCCCACAAGAGCGCCCACAATGCGGTATTTGATACGTAGCTCCATGTAATCTAATACAATAAAAATTATTACTGATTCGATTACCGGTCACTTAACTTACCATCCACATCGAAAACGTAACCGGTGCCATTTAACAAAGTTAAATACATTTTGTTTTATTTTCCCGATTTTTTAAGAACAAAAATGCCAAACTTAACATACTACAGAAATGTTATTAACAGCATGAGCTTACGCTCTGGAACTATACACGATGTCAGCTCAGCGATAAATAAATGTATGCATTTTATTGTAAATTTGTCAAACATATTTTATTAAAAATGTAAATAAAATACTTGTTTTCGAAAGTATTTTTAATAAATAAATACATTTTTGAGATCTAAATTTGAACTTAACAGCTGATTATTGGTTTCAAAGAACAATTTCTGTACACAGCGATAACGCCTATCGACAGCTTCAGCGGAACCAGTTCATCTAAGCAACACTGGCCGCTCTGCTTTGTTGCATTTGCCAGCACTGAGAAATTGAATGCCAGTTTTATTGTTGTTATTATCTCAGAAGCGTTTTGTTAATTTCATCAACTAATGCATTATAATACCGCGAGTGTCACAATTATTACCAAACCACATGTACATAATCAACTGAGCAATTGCAACAAAAATGTAGCCATATGTTAAGCGAGTGTGTGCGAATTTGCAAACCGTATGCCATCAATTTAGCAATACGAAGACGAAGACACCACCCACAAAACTGACAAATTGAACATTTGCGTTTTGTTTCTTCACTCAATCAGTTCCTATTAGCACACCACAGTTGGCGTGTCGTTAAACACAAATTGCGTAAATTGCGCACTGATTGTGCGTTATTCGTGGGGCCACAATTAACAAAACATTTCGTGCCGTAAGTATCAGAGGGCAGGGAGCAGAGTGCAAAGGGCCGCGCGGGACATGCCTCGAAATTCGTTTGTGTGTGTGTGTGTGCGTGCTGGGTGTGGGATTAGCACCCTGTGGGAGTACCTTTACTAATGTTTATTTATTAATGTTTACTCGTGGCTATTGTTTACTTATCAGCAATGTCATACCTGTTAATGCTTACACGTTCCCCCTCACACGCCGTTGCTTCAAATAATTTGTAATAAACCTAATAGCAGATAGATTGACCCGTTCTATATTTTTTCCACTTAATTATTCGATATGCATTAGAACATCATAAGAACTCATCAACATAATTTAGGCGGTTCTGGCTCTACTTTTGCTACAAAGCTAGATATCTTTCCCGGAATTAAAGAAGAATGTTTGTATATAAAAGAACATTCCGAGAAATCGTAGAGCAATTTAACAGTTCTCTTTAAAAATAAAATAAAATATACATATACAACCAATGTCAATAAAAGTCTACTTTGACTTGATAAAGTGGATTTTCTGGTGAATCTATTTGATAGTCAGATAGAAACAAAATAAAAAATATCGTTGAATATTATTTTATTTATTACTGAAATTAATTATTGACAAACGTAAAATAATGAGAAATTATTCACAAAATTAAGAAATCTATTGAGAAAAGTGAAAATAATTTTGATGGATTATTAGCGAAATGTAACTTATTTTATACTCTGTTTAGATAAAAACGTTATTTATTACTGAAGATGCCATTCTCTCTATAGAAACAGAAGTATGGTTGAGAACATTCCGATAAATCCAATAGTAGAAAAATATGAGAATTAAGATGGGTGCAACGAAAATTTAAAAATATATATTCCTAGTATTTATAACGAAAAGATAACTTGATATACTAGATCCCTGGTGGAAAAAAACCTATAATTAATTTGTCAAGTCGTATGATTTGACTATTAATTTTTTGAATTTTAGCCAATTCATTCCAACAGTAATTTCATAAATAACTTAATCAACTTTTCAAACTAATTGATTCACTAGTAGTAGAGATCCATAAAATTCATTTACTATTTAATTATTGATTATTTTGTTTACATTATTAATTTATTAATTTTTAGAAACTTTCTTTTAGTCCACTAATTAGTATTGGACTTCAGACTTGTTCCATGTTTATTTAGATTTCTTATTAACTACTATTATTGCGTTCTGAATTCATTTTGTTTATGGAAAGATTTGTGAATTTTGGAATGAATCACCAATTAAGATTAATAGAGCCAAGATTTAGAAAGGTGTTGGACTCTGCATAGGGAATGTAACAGCAATTTCTCGATTTCCGTGTTCGGCATATTATCAGCAATAATATATATAGTATATGTATACATATGTAGAATATCTTTATAGCTGTGCTCCAAGAGCTTTGCTTGCAGCTCATTAACAAGTATTAGCCTATTCACTAACACATTGTATTTTGTTTCTCTGTCTCTCTCTCTCTCTCTCTCTCTCTCTCTCTTTCTCGCTCTTTTGGTTTTGTTAGCGCTGGTGAAAAACCCACCGACGATCGAACGGGCGAAACAACAATAGGAACAGATATAAAGCACTTGGCGCTTGGCCATGTAAATATAATTTTTTTGTTTTTGTTTTTGTTTTTTGCACACACAATATACAGTATTTGATGCAGCAGTATATTATATAATTTGTTGCTTTTGCAGGTCGTGCGGCGAGAATAGCGACAGCTGCCCCATAAGAGACGTTAACAGCGACGTTCACGGCTAAGGGTAAGCCAGCAACAATAGCAGCCGAGACCTGGGAGACTTGTTAAACGTTTCAGCCTTCGCCGCAGGCCCCCGCCTAGCTCAGATGGGGCGCACGGCCCACTGCTGCTGCCGCCTGCATTAGTCATAGGAAACGTGAAACGAAAATGCGGACTAGTGCGACGACAGCGAACAGTTCAATTGGGGCTACGATGTGGCTACGGATTGCACAACAAACAGCGAAACTCGAGCAGCTATATGGGAATTGGTAAATCAAAATGATTAGGAATTACAGCTGTTAGGAGAAATAGGCCTATTTCCACGAATGCCATATCTGAACAGATCTGTCAGCCCCGCATAACACTAGAGTTCCATTACTCCATGCTATTTTCTGATATCTATCGTATTTCATTACCACTCCTCAATGAAGTTTTGTTTCTGATTGCAGAGAATGTAGTGTAAAGTCACAATATTGGACCAGAAGGCAGCTGAATTTTGGTATGTGAGACAAGTTATCTATCAAATTAACAGTCGATTGTATTTCTTATAACTTGCTGCTCTCTCTGTTCTTCGGCGCACAGTCTAAGCGACGCTAAATGATAAAAGACTTGGGCATCGAGCGAACGTAAATATGTTTAAGATTCGACAACGGAATTGTATGCTGATTGCCACGGTGCTAATATTGGTGCCCTGCATTGTGATATTGATGGTATTGGGACCAGAACTATCCACCGAACAGTCGCTGACGCAACGTCTGGCCGAGTGCCACATGCGGCTGCAATATCTGGAGTCCATGTACCGTGCTCGGCAGGAGGACGTCTCGCTGCTCTCCCAGTACCTGGGCCAGCTGCAGACCAACAATGGCAGCAATGTGACCAATGTGAGTCCGCCGCCGCAGCCGGTGTCGAACCTGCTGGATGCGCTCAGCCCGGAGACACGGCAGCTGCTGCGCAACGCCTCCCACGCGTCCAGATCGGGTGGCTCTGGCTCGACGCGTGGCTATGTGCCCGCACAGAATATACGCCTGCCGAACGCCTATCACTTTCTGCCCCATCTGCTGGACGACGCTGGCTCCCTGCGCCCTGCGTATTTCCAGAGCAAAGGCCGCTCCGACGTTAGCATCGTGCTGGGCGTGCCGACGGTGCGGCGCGAGAAGCAATCGTATCTGCTGGCCACGCTGCACAATCTGATTGAGAACATGAATGATGAGGAGCAGAACGAGACTCTGATCATTGTCTACATTGGCGAAACGGACCTGGATGCCGTCCAGCTGATAGCCAAGCAGATTGAGACCAGCTTCGAGGCCCATGTGGAGAGCGGACTTATAGACATTATAGCGCCAGCGCCTAGCTATTATCCAAACTTTGAGCGGCTGCGCATCACGCTGAACGACTCCTTGGAGCGCGTGAAGTGGCGCAGCAAGCAGAACCTGGATTTCGCCTATCTCATGGCCTATGCCCACTCGAAGGGCACCTTCTACGTGCAGCTGGAGGATGATATACTGACAAAGCGGCAATTTATAACCACAATGAAGAAATTCGCGCTCATCAAGAGCGCTCTGACCAAGCCCGATCAGCCGGACTGGTTCGTGCTGGACTTTTGCCAGCTCGGCTTCATTGGCAAAATGTTTAAGAGCGCCGAGCTGCCATACCTCATAACGTACTTTCAAATGTTTTACAATGATAAGCCCGTTGACTGGCTGCTCACCTACTTCATAGAGTCGAAGGTGTGTCGCACGGACAAGGACCAGAAGCACTGCAATCTGGAGAAGGCAAAGTATTGGCAGCACTTCCGCAAGTCGCTGTTCCAGCACATTGGGACTAGCTCCTCGCTCAAGGGCAAAGTACAAAAGCTGAAGGACAAGCAATTCGGCAGCAAGGTTCCATCCTACTATGCGCACACGCACAATCCGCCCGCGCTGGTCAAGTCGAATATAGCGCCGTATAAGAACTATTTGCTGAAGCGCGCCTATCGCGGCGAGACGTACTTCTGGGGTCTGCTGCCGCAGCCCGGCGACCTGGTGGAGTTCATCTTCGAGCAGCCGACGCAGCTGAGGCGCTACCTATTCCGCAGCGGCAACTCGGAGCACCCGTCGGATCGCTTCTACAATACCACCGTGGAGCTGCTGCCCGCAGATAGCTTAAGCGAGAACTCGTCCGTTTGGAGTACCTACAATACGACAACGGATGGCTATCTGGTGGTGGGCTCGTTCGATGCGCTGGGCGTGGCCGAGGGACAGCTCGACCCGAAAATCGGGCCCATCAAGGAGCTGCGGCTGCACGTGCACAGCGACAGCGAGAACTGGGCGCTGCTCAGCGAGATCGAGCTGCAGCAAATGGACAGTAATGCCAGCAGCTTGGAGGCGAACGCAGCCAAGCCGCGCTACATCGCAGCCAGCTGATTGCTGCATCGCCATCGGCGTCCGCAGCAGCAGCCGAATAACTGTAGTGGCGACATACCCAAGCATTGATGTTTTTCCGCAATCCGTGTACATCTATTTGTCTGTCTGTGTATATGTGTGTATATTTTTTGAGCGCTACTTTTAAAGCCTATCATCTAAATGTGTAAATAACTCACCTCCAGGTATATATTTATAACGTCTAACT